TCCCTGTCCTGACAGCGACGTGTAACGGTGCTTCCTCTCGGTGGTCCTTTAGATTAGGGTTGGCATGGCAATGCAGAAGGTATTTTACGGTGGCAATYTGTCCTGCTGATACAGCRCAATGTARTGGCGTCTTGCCATACGAATCTCTTTTGTCGATATCTGAAAAAAATAACAGTTAATCATGGAAAATATCAATTTGGAGAGATAACTTTGCAGAGGTTTTTGAGTTTATGACTTCCCGAGTCTCCTGTTTCAATGTTGTCCTATCGTTGCAGGTCGCTTTCATTTCTAATGATAATTTCCTGACCTACATGAACAGCACTGCAGTAACTGGAAGTACATAGGAGGAGGAGGCGGGGGATGTGGACGTTTAGAGCTCACGTCAATCATTTGTAGAACAGGAACTATTAGTATTTTATTCGTGACTGTAGTTTTAAGTGCGAATGATTTGATTACCACTAACACTGATATAATGAATGATTTAACAAACAAAATGAAAAGCTGACCTTGCTGTTATAATATAGGGCTATCTTAAAAGGAACTATAATGCAATGGTATGGTGTACCTTCACTTTGCTGCAGAAGTACCCGTATGTCCTGGGTATTCCCTCGTCGGGCCAAACTGTGAAGGGTCTCTTTTTCACCATCTGCATCGACTCCAGACTAAAAAAGGTTTTAAGATGAAATGATCAAAGTGGAGAAAAAGCAATTTGTTGTTCAATAGCCGACTTTAGATATTTTGGTTCAGTGATCATGCACAAAAGAATGCAGACGAGACTCCGGTGAAATAAAAGAATAAATCAAGATTATCGATCATTGTTTTTCCGGAGCCTCGTGTGCGTTCTTTTGCACCAAAATATCTAAAGTTGACTATTAAAAACTCGTCTTGGAACTTTGCGCATGCGTTCCAGATCCTGGATACCGCGGGCTTAAGTAGGGCGGGCTCCAGCGGTGTGAAATTGGAACCATTTTGATGTGTGKTCCTGTTYTTCTAAWGCTCGAAAACAAAGTCTAAAATCAGCTGAGGTTGTGTGTGGGTTATTGTAAAATAAATAAGAGATTAGTTAAWTTATCYGAACGAGACATTTGGTCTGAATCGGCTTTAAAATTAACCAAATCCCACTCAACCCTGTGGGAATCAGATCTCTAGTGTTTCGACTTTGAAGATTTTCTGCATTTTGTATTATAGAGGTAAAAACAACCACTTCTCTTATTCTTGCTGTGAATAAGACTTCAACATATTGAAAAAGCGATAAGGCAATGTTTTCTAATTAAAACACCATCTACTGAAATCACTCAGTTTATTGAAAATGAATGAGTATTTCATTTCTTTGTATTATTCGTGGAAATCCTATACCAATAAAAGAACCAAAAGCTTACCAAGAAGGGAGGGGTTAAATGGCAATACGTGTCTTATCACAAGATGATCAACATTAAAAATTAAATACAGAAAAGTGCGGCTATGAAGTGCTCAGATTTGAATCAGAAATTTGATTATAAGGCTATGAATCCGCTTGATTTACCAAATCTTGGCTTTACTGGTCAGAAAAGAAATGGGCTTTCCGTCACTCAAATTCCAGTTTCAAAGGCCAAATTTATAATGTGCAAATGAGAGAGGAAAACGAGCAAAAACGATTTGAAGTAATTCAATTGCGAGAATCAGTGTTTAAAATGTTTCGGGAGCATTAGAATAAGAGAAAAATCATATTTGAAAATAAAAAGGCTTGGTCAAACAATACGCAAATTCGGAACTATTGAGTGAAAAAATAATATAGTCTAATATTTCACAGTTTACCTGCTCGATTTCATTGAAAATTTAAGTGACAGAATTTATGACTCATTTATGACTAAACCAAATTTAACTGCGCACTGACATTGAGCTWCTAKTTCATACTCGTTTGGAATTCCAATAGTGGCCTAATGGTAAATTGAAAAATAATGAAAAAAGATTATGTTTGGCAGAGAGAGTGCAGTTTTACCTTCCCTGTTAAACAGTCTTTACATAGCATAGCCAACTCGGACGACACTCTGCAGGTTGTAAGCACACGCTGTAACTGAGATTTCAAACATTTGAGTTCTTATATTTTGATTTTTTTGGTGGTCAGTTGCTATCTGTAGAAATGCTTTCAATAATTTAAACATGTATCAGGCACCAAATCAAATAGTCAACCAAAAAATCGAGGTTTTATRTGTCGGTAGAAAAAAAAATACTTCCTTCGATTTAATTAGGATTTAAGTCCACTGAACAGTTAACACTAAGAAAGCTGGAAGTGTCACAGGAAATGATATATCAAAATCGCTCTATAACTTCAAGAAGAGTCACTTCAATGAAAAAGATTCACGTTGCTTCGAATAATTGAAGATAACACAGATATAGATTGCGGTATCTACGCATACAATAAACTCCTTCCCTTTTAATTGCATTTTGAATAGCGTTGGATTGTCGTTTTATGATAGAGAGGTTGGTATTTGTCAAAGGTCTGGCAGATAAACCACTCAATGAATAAGAACAAAAAATAGAGTGGCAATCGACCCTGGCATTGATTCACGCTACCGTATATCGATCTATCTCGMCTGTGATTACCAGTCRGTGATGCGCGCGAGCATTTTTATAWTGACAGACATGTTTTATTTTGATAATACCAAAAGCCAAATTATCAATAAAAACGACATGACGATCATGACAACGATGGAATATTATGTCAAGTCTTCAAGTAATTCACAGTACGAGAGAAGGCAATCAATCTTTCTCCAATATTAATCAATATAGATAATTTTATGCAAAGATTACAATGATAACAATGTTTGACCATATCCCCGAGGAGTAGAGGAGGAACATATCGGGGAGGAGGGCCGCATAGGTGTGCAGGTGCATTTAGGGACGTTGAATGTTCGGAAAGTTTTTTGTACAGATACAGCCTTCATTACGTTCAAACATCGGAATAAAAGAAAAAAAAGAAAAGGAAAAACCATGAATGTCTGTATCTAACATCCGAACCCGTACCCTCGAAAAATATGGCGGAATACGGCCCATCTGATGGATGGGCGCCGCGTCCACCTATAAGGGATTTTCCCTAAAAATATTCTCTTATATTACAGGTTAATGAAAATAGTTCAAAATAAAAAGAAGTTCAACCATCATGGCTGTATCTAAGATCTGAACCCACCTCCTCACATCCATGACGCTGCGCCTTTACTCCTCGGGCGTATAATTCTACTATTAACTGATGATGTAACTCAATGTCGTGCCAATCGAGTCTCTCTTCTAATCGTAAAGCATGACCGGGAAAAGGTAGTGAGCATGATTATACAAAGTTTGCCACACCCGGTTGACACAATGGTCAAGTTGTAAAGGTGCGCTCAYTCATGACTTAGGGTCCGCACGCTCCCCTCCCTACTTGACTGGCTAACTATCCCCATATACAAAGTATATCTCCTTTCTTAATGTAAATCCATGGGAGCATTCTGCAGCGCTTTGATGATGGAT